AAAAAGAACTGGGCCTTATTCCACCAATCCCAGGACCAGAGGGTCCTGAGGACCTATGGGTCTCACTAACTGTACATCAAAATCCATATTGCCTCCGTTTCTTTCATTTCATTCTAAAGAGCTTCCATGATTTCAACAACAACAAAGGCAAAGCAGAAAATAATTTAGTCTTGAAGGAGCTCAAAGGAAACCGCCTACATGCCTTCAGAGAAGAGAAGCCATTTCACTCCCCAAACAAGGAGGAACAACCCAGCACGAGAGAGAGAGAGAGCTCTGGAAACATACGAATGCAATCACTTGGATTTTAAAGGATGGAATGGAAGAAAGTTCAGAAGATGGTCAAAGACAAGGGGATGATCAATGGGAGAGAAAAAAATCGTTAATCAGTTTAAGGTGCTTGATCACAAAGAAGTACACAGTCAACCCGTGTACAGCACGTTTGCATTGCGTGGACCCATTTATACGCAGGGTTTGGTTTTTGACCTTTCTCTTTGGGCTTGTTTAGGGTTTGCCCTTTGGTATTGTGTGCTGAACGTACTGTGACCCACCGAAAGGGCCGACAACTCTGTCTTGGGAGAAGTCCAAGCAGGATGGCAAGACTTCATCTCATGCACATGGACATGTTGTCAGGGGAGACCACTCCCTGGAGAGGGCCGCCATGCTTGGGAAAGTGGAGGGACAGCGGAAGAGAGGAAAGCCCTTGGCAAGATGGGTTGACCCAGCGTGGGAACAATGGGCCAACGTAAGCAACATTGGTGAGGCAGGCGCAGGACCAAGCGGTGTTTCGTTCGAGTGTCACATCCGGTGACTGTGAGTCGGAACTAAGCGATGGCCCCTGCAGCAGCCTTGGTGCTGCAGAGAACACAAGTGTCCTCAGTGCCTGCTGGATGATGACGGGTGAAGCTGGTCATCTCCACGTGACCAGTTCTTCTCTCAAGTCCCTGCCAGCCCCTCCCCATCCCATCTCCCCTAGCTGGACCTCCTGTGCTGCGCCCGGTCAAGCATTCGGCTGCTAACCACAAGGTGAAGGATTCAAGTCCATCCAGAAACACCTTGGAAGAAAGGCCTGGCCGTCTGTCTCCCCAAAACGGAGCCATCGGAATCCTTGGCAGCACAGTTCCTCTCTGACGCACGCTGGGCCGCCCGCAGTCAGAATCAACAGGACAGCTGGCAACTAGCTTTGAGTTCATTACGGTTACTTGTCCCCGAGAAATCAAGATGCACCAACACTCAGCTAACGAGCTGATAGGGGGGGGGGGGCACTGTATAGAGCAGGTGCGCCCTCTCTGCCTGCTGCAATGCCAACAAGCACTAAGAAAAGTTGCATTTGTCCCAGTGGGAATGGCAGCCATTGCTCTCTCTTTAGTTTAGCAGGACATGGGATGACCGTGATGTTTCTGAGAATGCATATCAAGTTCTGTAGGAGATTGGTACCATCCTTTGCTCTGTTCCCCTGCCGCAGCTTAATTGCGTACACGGAGCAGTACATGGAATATGACCCCCTGATAACACCAGCTGAGCCTTCCAATCCCTGGATCAGTGATGACATCACCTTATGGGACGTAGAGACGAGGTAAGGAAAAAACGTCTTGGGGTTTTAGGATGGGAAGAGTGTTTTTAAACACATGTAATCGCGAGATTATCTGAATGTGAATTCTTGCTGGAGGAGTTTCTGGGTGGGTAAGCTTGTAAGGGACAGGTTAGACATTTAAGCCCGCCCAGGGGTACCCCAGAAGAAAGGTCTGCCAATGGACTTCCAAAGGACCCCGCTGCTGGACACATCGACTCAATGAGAACTGGTTCAGTTCAGGTCTGGTCTGGTCTGGTTTGGTTTTTATTGCTAAGAAAGAAGTCACCTTTCGAATGGCTCCTCCTCCTCCGTGGCTTCATCTCCCATGTCGTTGCTTCTTCGGTCTCTTCACGGGTCCTATGGGGACATCATGATCGCTGGACCGCCAACCAATCCTTTTCACCTTTGCAAACCTGATAGGTTTAAAAGGACCTCCATGCTGCTTTTTATTTCTCTGTCAATGTGCTTGGGAAGCTGTCAAGGGGTTATGGTTCGTTTCTCTTCTGTGACTTGCCTGCTTTGTGCTCTCTGCCCGCTTTCCTAGCAGGCTGTTTCCCCTTGAGCATTAAGAGCACCCACAGTCCCTCTGCCCTGACGTCGGTTCTCTTCATCATGCTACCTGCTGGCTTGTGTTACCTTCAGTTTCATTCGAGCCACTGTTGCTGGTCAATGTTTTCATGCATGATAATGTTAGTTCCTACCAATACAAGGGAAGGATACAAACAAATAATAAAGTAGATGCTTCTTTTACATCCTCCAAATTCCATTCACCCTCAGAGCCATGTTAAATAGAAATCCTTTGTACCAGCCTTTTGAAACTTATTTCTCTCTATCAAAATTAAAAGAACCAATATGTCCCAGATGGTGGCAAAGAGCCCTGGTAGTGCAGTGGTTACGTGTTGGGTTGCTAATCACAAGGTCAGCAGTTCAAAGCCACCAGAGGCTCCTTGGGTGAAAGATGAGGCTTTCTACTTCTGTAATGAGTTACAGACTCCGAAACTCACAGGGGCTGGTCTACCTGGCCCTACAGGGTCTTTATGAGTCAGAATCGACTTGATGGCTGGGAGTTTGGTCTTGGTTTAAGATAGTGACATAGCAGTCACCTTATGATGCCCATCTTTATAGCAAAGACCTAAGAAACAAGTGACATGGCTTTGGAACCCTTAGTATCACAATCAAGGCTGAAAAATCAAGCCAAATGGAAGGAGGAATTGAACGGTAAGCGTGGACACTGAGAATCACATCCTGCCTTTGAAAGCAGTGCACTGCAGCCACAAAGAGACAAAGCGGTCAGCATTCCCATGGAAGTCCTCATCACGGGGGAGCCAAACAGAAGCAGCTCTTCAGAGCTGTGTAAGAGTGCTTCCTGTCCTGCCTAAGTTGAATTCACTCACCTTACCCATTGCACCCCATGATCCAGAGGCTAAGGGATCTGCAGTGTACCCCACCATCTTCTATCTATTTGCCTCTCATGTGATCACATCCCACAGCACTGACCACTGCACCTGTCACTTGAGTTGAGGCTCACGGATTGGTGGCACCTGCCCCTTCATTCACCTGCTCATGCCAGGGAGCCACAGATCAGCGGCACCTGCCCCTCAGCTTAGCTGTCTGCACTGGGGCCCCATGTACTGGTGATTCTCACTGTTTCTCCCAACCACCACCACACACACACACACAAGCACACACAACAACTATGGCCATGAAGTTGATTCTGAATCATATTGATCCTGGACAGGGTTTCTGAAGCTGTAAATCTTTTTAAGGAAGAAGGTCGTTAATCTTCCCAGAAAGCTTCCTTTGTCTCCCTCAGAACACCTGGTGGCTTTGAATTGAGTCCCTGGGGTTAGCAGTTCAACGCTAACCTGATAATGCCACCAGGGCAGGAGCCCACAAACTGGAGGATCTCTATGTTGCCATGATATGGAAATATCGGCTACTCGTTTTCCAAATACCAGCAGAGTCTTTCTTGTGGGCAGAACTTCAGCAGAACTTCCAGACTAAGAACAGACTGGGAAGAAGGAGTCAATTGTCCATGCCTGAGGGATTAGCCATGAAAACTTTATATGAGTGGCAGCGGGCTATTGATTTCCTGCTGGAAGATGAGTCGCTTCGGTTAGAAGGCACTCAAAATATAAGTAGGCAAGGGCTGCACTCTCAGTAGATCCTACTGGAGTAGATCCTGCTGGTGGGTATAGAGAAAGCTCCCGGGGGCTCCATTGGCTGAGACTGTAAGACTCCAAATGGGAAGAAACAGCCTACTCATAATTGGAATGTCCAATGTACCAAGTAGGGATTTAGGAAAATTGGAAGTCATCAAAAATGAAACAGAATGCATAAATATCAATATCTCAGGCATTAGAGAGCCGAAACAGATTGGTATTGGCCATTTTGAGTCAGACAACCAGATAATTGACCCGGTCAGAAATGGCAAATTCAAGAGGAATTGCTTTGCATTCAGCGTCAGAAAGACTACTCAAAATCTATTTTAAAGTACAAAGCTGTCTGTGATGGGATAATATTTATACACCTACAGGAAGTCCAGTTAGTGCAACTATTATTCAAATTTATTTACCAGCCACTCCAGCTACTGGTGAATAAATTGAAGAATTCCACCAACTTCTTCAGTCTGAAATTAATCAAACATGCAATTAAGATGCAGTGATAATTATTGACAATTGGAATGTGAAAGTTGGAAACAAAGAGGAGGGATTTTTCTCTTTAGGACTCACTGCCAACTCATACCAAGTCAATTCCAACCCATAACAATGCTTTAGGACAGCGTAGAACGGCCCCTTTGGGTTTCTGAGGCCGTGAGCCTTTACAGGAGCAGAAAGCCTCATCTTTCTCCCTGGGGGTGGCTGGTAGTTTTGAACTGCTCACGTTGTAGTTAGCAGGCCAACACATACCCCTCTGTGACACAGTCCATAGAAATATGGCCTTGGTGATCAAACAAAGCTGGAGTTCGCATGATAGACTTTTGTAAGATCAATGACGTGTTCATTGGAAATACCTTTTCTGAATAACATAAATGATCATTATACATGTGGACATCACCAGATGGAACACACAGGAGTCCAATTGACCACATCTGTGTGACCAGATGGTGGAGAAACAATATCATCACTCACAACAAGACCAGAGGCTGACTGTGGAACAGATCATCAAGCCCACGTGTAAGTTCAGGTGGAAGTTGAAGAATGTTAAAACAAGTCACAAGGGCTAAGATTCAATTGAAGTATATCCCACTTGAATTTAGAGAACATTTCAGGAACAGATTTGACACATTGGATGCTAATAACCTGATGAAATGTGGAATAAAATCAAGAATATCATATGTGAAAAGCAAAAGGTCATTAAAAAGAAAGAAAAGACCAAAGTGGATTGCAAACAAGACTCTAAAACTTACTGCTGAATATAGAGTAGCTACCATATATACTTGTGTATAAGCCAAGTTTTTCAGCACATTTTTAATGCAATTTTTGTGGTAAAGTTAGGTGCCTCGGCTGATATTTGGGTCAGCTTATACTCGATTATATACGGTAAATTAGCTGTAAGAAATTATCATGTAATAGAGCTGAACAAAACATTCCACAAAACATCTCAAGAAGACAGAGTATTGTAATGAAATATGCAAAGACCTGAAGTTAGAAAACTTGGAGGGGCGGGGGGTGGGGAGAACACAGTAAATCTCAAGCTGAAAGAAATTAAAGAAAACTTCAAGTCTTGAGTTGTAATATTGCGGGATACTATGGACAAAATAATGAATGATGTAGGAAGCACCCAAAGAAGCTGGAAGAGTTGCTGTATCCCAAAGACTTGGTAGGCACTCACCTATTTCAAGAAGTAGCAGATGATCAAGAACCGCTGATGTTGAAGGAAGAAGTCCAAGCTGCACTGAAAACATTAGCAGAACGCAGCCAGGCTTCAGGAATTGACAGAAAACCAAACAAGCTGAGGAAACACTGGAAGCACTCACTGTGTGGCTCCTAACGAACTACAGACGACTTTGAGAAGAATGAGGAGTCCTGAACGCTTCTTTGCACGGAAGCTGAATCTGTGCACAGACCCAGAGACAGTTGTTCAAACAGGACAAGGGGTACTGGGTGGTTTGAAAGCACAGTATGTAGGGGGGCGTGTATCATTTCACCATACTTACGCAATCTCTATGCTGAGCAAACAACCTAAGAAGGTGAACTGTCAAAAGAAGAACGCGGCATCAGGATTGAAGGGCGGCTTATGAACAACCTGGGATATGCCAATGACACGACCCGGCTTGTTGAAGCAGAGACGGCTTGAAGCAGTGGCTGATGTATGATAAAAGACTGCAGGCTTCAGGAAGGGCTGCAACTCAATGTAAAGAAAACCCAAATTCCCACCAGTGCATCAATAGACAATATCATGACAAGCAGAGACGAGATGGAGGTTGTCGAGGACTTCATTCTGCTAGGATCTACAATCAACGCTCATAGGAACAGCAGTCAAGAAATCAACCCGTGTATTGAGCAAACATGCTGCACAAGAAGTCTTTAAAGTGGTGAAGAGCGAGGATGTCGCTTGGAGGACTAAGGTGCGCCTGAACCACGCTCTGGGGTTTTGAATTGTCTCCTACACGTGGGAAAATTGGACAGGGAAGAAGGAAGACTGCCGGAGAATCTCTGCACTTGAATTTAGGGGTGAGAGAAGAATGCTTCCTAAGAACACACAAACACACCTTGGAAGAAATAGCCAGAGTGGTTAGAAGCAGGATGGAAAGACACCATCTCACAGACTTTGGACAGGTTATCAGGAGCGATCGGTTGCTGGAAAAGGACACCATGCTTGGCAGGGGGCGGCGAAAAATAAGACTCTGGGCAAGATGGGTGGACACAGCACCCGCAACAGTGGACCCAAACCTAACAAGCATGAGGCTGGCACAGGCCTGGGCAGCATGTCATCCTGTTGTGCATAAGATCACTGCGAGTCAAAGCAACTGAAGCCTCCTAACAGCAGTGAGACCCACGCCGCAATCTTAGAGCCCATAGTTTGTTGAATAGCGTACGCCCAAAATGCATGTCCACCAGACACCTCGGAATCTGGCCTGATTAAGAGAGAGGGTCTTCACAGACACAAGCAGTTAACTTGAGCACCTCCTGGACTAGGGTGGACCTTACCTCCAGTGACTGGTCTCTGGTGGGAAGACATAGAGGAACACAGAAGAAGAGTCGTGTGATGACAGAGGCAGAGCGTCTAATGGTGGTGGAGCTACAAAGCAAGGAGCCCCAGGATTATCCAGAGGCCAGGAGAGAGGCACGGGACAGATTCTTCCAGAATCCCACCGGCAGGCAGGAGCCTACCCTTGACTTCAGCACCTTGATTTCAGACTTCTGGCCTCTTGAACCCCAAGGGAGTCAATCACCGTTGGGGGGCAATGTGTCACACTAGCCCTGGGAAATGAGGACCATGGCTGGCCCTAGATGGCATGCAGCGCATCTGCAAGCAGGGTCGAGTTATGTAGGAGGGCGGGGAGGCCCCTTCTTCTTCTCTCTGAGGAACATTTCTATCCCCCCTGGCCCTGGCAGTGGTGTCAGGAAGTCCGTTGGCGAAGCAGAGTCTAGAACCAAGGCCAACATCACATTAAGCCCAGAGAGCATCCTGGCCCATGAAGGCAAAGTCTGAAGACCACCACCAACATCAGCAAAGGCTCTGTTCAGCTTCTGTTTCATATAACGTGTGGGTATTAGGACGTGCTAGTTCTAAGCGAGAAGCTCTCTGGAGTTAGAAATGTCACCGGGTAAATAGAATGGGCTGTCTTACTACCTGGGTAGCCCTGGTGGTTTATTGACTGCATGTTGGGCTGTGAGCTGCAAAAGATGGGCAGTTCAAAACCACCAGCAGCATCAAAAGAGATAGCGTCTGGGGTCTTAAAGGCTTGAAGGTAAATGAGCAGCCATCTAGCTGAGAAGCAACAAAGCCCACATGGAAGAAGCACTCCAGCCTGTGTGATCACGAGGTGTCGAAGGGATGAGGTATCAGGCATCTAAGACCCAGAGCAAAATATCGTAATGTGAATGAGGGGAGGAGTGTGGCGTGGAAGCCCAAAGCCAACCTGTAGGCAATTGGACATCCCCTTACAGAAGGGTCATGGGCAGAAGACAGGCCAGTCAGGGTGCAGTACAGCACCGAGGAAACATACAGCTTTCCTCTAGTTCTTTAATGCTTCCCCACCCCGCTACTATCATGACCCCAATTCTACCTTACAAATCTGGCTAGACCGGAGCATGTACATGGGTACAGATAAGAGCTAGAAACACAGGGAATACAGGACAGATAAACTCCTCAGGACCAATATTGAGAGTAGCCATACCAGGAGGGTACGGGGAAAATGGAGGGAAATGGGGGGACTGATCACAATAACCTACCTAGAACCCCCTCCCAGGGGGCTGGACAACAGACAAGGGGGTAAAGGGAAACATCAGAGAGTGCACGACATGAAAAAATAATAATAATTTATAATTATCAAGGGTTCGGGAGGGAGGGAGGAAAGGAGGGAGAGGGAAGGGGAAAAATGAGGAGCTGATACCAAGGGCTCAAGTAGAAAGAAAATACTTTGAAAATGATGATGGCAACATATGCACAAATGTGCTTGACACAATGGATGGATGGATCGTGATAAGAGTTGTACGAGCCTCCAATAAAATGATTTATTAAACAAAAAACAAAAAACAGCAGCAGCTCCTCTGCAGAAAGATGGGGCTCTCTACTCCCATAAACAAGTTAGTCTCGGGAACCCACAGGGACAGTGCTACCCCGTCCTAAAGGGTCACTATAGGTGGCAGTGAGTTTGGGTTAGGTCTTACCTGACACCAGAATTCTTCTTTGTCTGGCAAAGAACATGAAGAAATCACCTGGGACCGCCCTCCCCCCCCAAAAAAAAAGGAAGGCCCAGAGGGCAGGGCTGAGCAGGTTGTACTGAGAAAAACTCATGGTTCCTGAGAAGAAAGAGATACAGGTCGTGAACAGCCAAGAAGAGAGGTTCGGGCAGTCTTGGACCCTAGGGTGCTGGCTGTGTGGGGCCAGGGAAACCCCTAGCACTAAGGTGACTGTGTTGGGCCGGGTTGACTAGAGAAACAAATCCAGTGGTACTCACATATGTGTAAGAAAGAACATTATATCGAGAAGTGATTGTATATCGGGAAAACATCCCCGCCCAGTCCAACTCAAGTCCATAGGTCCAAAACTCGTCCATGAGTCCCCTCTTCAGGCTCACAAAGCCACATACAATGATGCAGAATGCCGGAAGATCACCGGCCGGTAGGTGCAAAGTCCCGTGGATCCGTTGGTGGTGGACGCGTCCCCAGGGCTCTGGCAGCAAGCAGGGTCCGCCAGCAGGCAGGTGAAGGCAGAGAGAGAGGGGAGGTTCCCAGGACCCTTCTTTTGAGAAGGCCACGCCCAGAGGGGGTCCCCGTCATGGTGTGACCCGACTGACAGGCCAAACTCCACCCTTGCACTTTTACATATCTTCCATTTGAACTGAAATTACGTAACTGCCACAGTGACCAAGAACCCCTCAAGGGCAGGAATGTCGAGTGTGTGATTTTTAAGTTGTGTGCTGCTAGATAGTACAATAGGAACCCTCTTTCCAATACGCCCACATTCCCGGCAAGGCTCTCCCACACTCAGACACTTCTTGGGAAGGAGGCTTTTGGGTGTGAAAAAGGATCCAAGGTGGCAGAATAGAGGCGGCATCAGAGAAAGCAGGAGCCGTGAGACTATCAATCCCCTGGGGATCCACGTTAATCCGTGTGTCCTTATGCAAAGTACTTCACCCTTTCTGAGCCATGGGGGCTCTGCTAGTACATTTGCCACAAAGAAGTTGTGAGGACTCTGGTGAGTGGGCAGATGTCAAGCAATTGAAGCAATGCGTGGACCATCGTGCAGGGAGTTATCAAATCCGTACAGGAATGTAGCATTCTACCTCTAAGCAAATGATGGTGCGCTCTCCTGGGTGAGCAAAGACATTTCGGGTCAGTTTGGGGTCGCTTGATGGTGGAAACACTTGATTTGGGGTCACTTGATGGCACAGTGGGTTAAGCGTTCATCTGCTAACTGAAAAATCAGTGGTTCGAAGCCATCAGCCTCTCTCCAGGAGAACAGTGGGACAATCTGCTTCCATGGAGAGTTGCAGCCTCGGAAGCCCTGTGGGGTCACTCTGCTCATGGTCGCTGTGAGGTGGCATGGATTTGATGCTGTGGTGGTGGGGGGTGACTTTCAAAAGGATTCTCTCCAGGAGAATGGGTGGGGAGGGGGTTGGAGGAGGAAGAAGGGGTAACATTTTTTAAAAAGGTTGGATTCATGAGGCATCTTGGGTTAGACAAAAAGTCAAGAAATGTTGGCATCAAGGATTGGGACCTTAGCTGATGGGTCAAGACAGTCACCATTTGATGGATTTCTGGTCACCCCTGACCCCGCGTTAAAGAGACTTTCCACTCTTGGTTCCAGGTGGTGTAGGAAAAGTCTATGCAGATTTAATCGACTCGGTCACTTGTGTATGGGGCATCTCCCTCACATGCGTGTTGTCAACATATTTGCGTGGTTGTAGAGTCTATGACACGGGTCTTTGCCCAGCACTGGTCATTTTAAAACCTTCTTTTTCACCCCCCTTCAAAGCAAAGAGCCGAGCCAGCAGAGAGTCAAGAGGTGGGGCTTCTCTTTTGATGAGATGTTGCAGGACCAGGTGGGGCGAGACCAGTTCCTCCGATTCCTGGAGTCTGAATTCAGTTCTGAAAACCTCAGGTAACTATCTCAAAGGTGTGCTTGATCTATGTGCGTCTTATGGATGTGTGTGTGTGTGTGTGTGAATAAAGTGGCATCATAAGTCTTTCTTTCTGCATTCCTCTCAATGAAAACGTCACTATGGTTCAGATTCAAAGCCCAGTTCTTCGGCCTCTGGTGGAAAGGGAGAAGAATAAACTAAACCGTACTGCTTGCTCGCCACCACATTCGCACCTGCCAACACCAGCAGTGTTCAGTTCTGAAAGTACTGATGACGTCAAGAGGCCCAACTCTTGGCTCTCGAATCGTGACTGCAAGAATCAGTACATGTGCAGATGGATTTGAGGGCCTACTGCATGCACTCCAACCACAGAACCGGGGGTCTCCGTGGAGATGAACAGCTCAGAGACGCTCTCCTCCAAACAATCCCAATCTGGGGTCTCAGATACCTGGCAGGCAAGACAAGGAAGAAGGGTCAGCGGGTTCATTTCACAATCTCAAAGGTCAAAGTAAATATCATGCATCAGCCAGAGCCCTAACTGCCCAAGCTAAGACAGCACACTTCCCTTTGGGGGGTGGGGGTGGGCAAGCCTGTGCGTGGGCTCCACGCTTTGCTACTGCTGCTCCTCAGGTGTCTAGGGGAGATCCGATCGTGTTTGATGTCTTCATGGATTCATCGTTACTGTTTAGGGAAACTATCGATGGATTCATAATTTCTGCTTAGTAGACAAAAACATCACACCTTCAAAATATAAAAGGGAGGTGCAGGGAAAACTGGTGTCTCATAAGGTCACAAAAATGTGCCTGTTTAACTTTTCGCTGTGTTCGATGAAACATGCGAGCATCTATGGGGAATGTGATTTCTCGAAGACCTTAATGATCTTCGTCAACCAGTGACTTCCGCCTTGGTAAGATGGAAGACTCAATCTTTCTTCTTTTCTTTTCAGTATTGGCTTCCCTTTCATAGAACTAGGCTAACACTCACCTTCTGGTGACGTTTTCGCAGGAAGGGTGTTCCCTGTTGTTCTTCGGTGCCCTCAGGTTCGTTCTGGCTCACAGCGATGCTATTAGAACCCGAGGAGACACCCCCGGTCCTGCGCCATCGTCCCCACCACTGAGACGTCTGAGCCCGTTGCAGCAGCCACTGCGCCAATCCATCTCTTTGAGGGGCTTCCGCTTTTTGGCTGACCCTCTTCTTTGCCAAACATGACATCCTTTCCCAGAGATTGGTCTCTCCCAAGAACACTGTTCAGAAGACACTTGAAGTCCCAAGCCCTCCCGGGCTTAGTGGTCATGCACATGACATTGATCACAGCCCCACGCTGCATCAACAGGGACATTGATGCCTCAGTGGTAGGACTGCATGCAGATGACTGGGGGTCGTTCGTGCACAGCCAGTGGGACCTGAGCTTCCAGACTGAGATGGACTGATAAGAAAGGCCTGACCGTTGACCTGAAAACATCAGCCAGTCACTGCCCTTTGAATGACAACCGTGCCCCCTACACCCCATCGTGGGGCGGCTGCAGCAGTTCTTCCTATTGTTTGGGGGACACCGTGGATGGGGCGAACCCCATGGCAGCTCACAACAGGGCTGTGTCCCTCCTCAGGAGGGTCTGCTTGTGTGGGGGGGTGGGGGTGTGTGTGCAAGAAATCAAAATGGATTGTGTTCATCTGCCAAGATCTTCTGGGTCCTTGAAGAGAAAAACACAAGAGCAGTGAAATCATTAGGTGAATGTCAATGGGAATACATGCCTGCCTGAATAAGGAAAGGAGCCGTGTCTGCCAGGGCATGCAGATCCTCAGCTGGACGTTGAAGATGGCAAGAGATAAAGAAAAATAGGAGAGTGTCCCACATGTGAAGAAGGTACGGGCCGTGGCTTGGCAGTGGGGTGCACCCGAGTCATGGTGTCTGGACCGGGGCCGTAGAAGCCCACGAACTGTACACACACGGATGACTGCGTAGGCCTCCGTGGGCCACATAGAAACCGGACGGGCTTGGCGCTCTGGTTCCGGGTGACCGCAGAGACTTCCTTCTTTGTGTCACTCATTATCCTCAACCCAGCCCAGAGCTGTCCTGCAGTTCCTGGGTTCTGACGCCGTTCACCGGGCCGGTGCTCCAGCCAGCCTCCTGGACTGTCGTGGAGGTGCCTGCTGCTCAGGGAGCAAAGTTCCCTCGGACCAGCCCCATGACCCCCCTGAACACTCAGAACAGGGAAGCACCTTTCTCTGACTGTGCCTGAGCCCCCAGTGGCCGAAGGCCCCTCATCACCTGCAGCAGTGCAGACAGCTGGAAGAATAGCCCCAGGTCATGGGCACAAGGAGGGGCCCAGAGCAGGAGCATCAGGCTACCCTGCGGCTTTGTTTCCCCAGACTGGAGCCTCCATCCTGGAGAGGCCTGGGTGTGTCTGGAGCCACATTGCAACCGGGCTTGAGCCCCAGAGAGCACAGAGGATGGTGTCCCTGCAGGTGGCTCTCTTGCCCCTGCAGCTCCCTATTCCCCCATGCCGAGAGGGCTGCGCTCACTCTGGGGTTAAAGGAAGTAGCGGGTGTGTGTGTGTGTGTGTGTGCGTGTGCATTTGTGGTTGTGCCTGTGTGTGTGTGTGTATTTGTGGTTGTGCCAGCGGCTAATCTGCACCCCCAGCATGCATGCATAATTCCAGACTTAACGAGGGCCCCCGTGCTCCACGGCAGGAAAGAGGATCAAGGCAGCAGCACAGCGGCGGAGAAGAAGGATCACCCCAAAGCTGGCGAAATCCTCTCTGGAGGCCCAAATTCCATTTTTATGATCCTCTGTATAATTGGATATATAGGGGAAAGTACAGCTTTAAATCCCACAACTTTAGGACTCCTCCAGTCACCTGTGAGGAGCCCCCTGGTGGCGTAGTGGTTACACATTGGGCTGCGGTCTAGAAGGTCGACAGTTCCAAACCACCAGCTGCCCCTCAGAAGAAAAACAGGGCTTTCTACTCCCGTAAAGAGTGTCAGTCTCAGAAACGCAGAGACAGTTCCACCCCAGTTCCACCCTGTCCTGTAGGCTCGCTGTGAGCCAGCATGGACTCGACGGCCGTGAGTCTGCTTTGGGGAGTTACCAAGGACACAGGAGTTCATCCCCCTGCCCCTCTTACTCCTTCAGCCACAGATACTCACCTGTCACCTACCAGGACCCAGCAGCGAGGACTCTGCTTGAACAGCTCTGCCCCTGGGCCAGGGCAGCCAGGCAGAGGCCAAGCAAAGTCACACACTACTGCAGGGCCAGTGAAGGGCCACCCCTGGGGGCGGGGCAAGCCCCCCAGGCTGCGGGGCCCTGAGAGAAGGCCCTCCCTTCTCCCCAGAGGCAGCCATGGGTGGAGAACCCAGACAACTGACCGTGGAGCCTGAGAGGAAGGAGAGAAAGGTAGACAGCCAGACAGACCAACGGAAAGTCATCTTGGCAAATTGCACAGATGAGTCGAGTGTGCTGTCTCTGCATTGACAGCAGCCAGGCACCACCCAGAATTCAGGGAGGGGCGCTTTCTGGAATGACATGATGCCATTTGAAATCTGCCTTGGATCATTTTTTCTTCTGAGTGAGCCGGGAGCCGACAGGGAGGGGACCGTCCCCAGGGACCAGGGCCAACAGGAGGATGTTGTCTGTCCTCAAGGCCAGGGCTACCTCCTTTCTCTTTTTCTGCCTCCCCCTGAGCCCAGCCCAGGGCTTCCCTCGGACTGGGTGGGCCCAGACGGGCAGCTGCCACAAGGCAGGAGCCTCCAGCCGGCTAGCCCAGCAGACTCGAGATGAGTTCTGTTACCCGGCCGCCCTCCCTCCTCCCTGGCCACTTTTGCCCCGCTCCCCTGGACACATCTGGGTGCCCCCCAGGTTGCCACCCTCTGCTGCATGGCAGGGCACGAGTTAAAAACTCAAAATCTGCAGCGAAGAACGTCCCGTACATTTTTTATGAGCTGTAACGTCTCCGGAGGGAGCGGAGTTGTTCTTCTAACCTGCAGATTGATTATCCTGGTTCCACGCAGTGTCAGCTGAAGGGAGAAGCAATTAAAAGAGAGCACAGGGGAGTTGCCACATTTGCCTGGAGAGCTCCCAGCTCCACAATTGCCCCAAGTCCCAAGAAGTCTAAGGCCTGTGCCCCGGAAGATTAGCCCCTGAGCAAACACAGGATGAGTCGGAGCAGCCAGCGGCACCAGCCTGGCCAGGCAGGGCATCGCTGACACAACTGCCCAGGGGCCGAGGCTGGGTTTCCAAGGAGGCGGTGGTGGCCGTGGTCCTGAGTACAGCCCCTGGAGGACTTACGCCCAACCAGAGGTCCCCTTGCATCGAATCCACCGCTCCTGAGGCTGTCTGGCCAGCAGAGGGCACAGAAACACTCCCTTTGGCCTGGAGTTTGCTTTCTCAGGGAATGAACCAAAGGTCCGAACCCATCGAGTCTGGCTTCTGCAAAGATACGCCCGCCAGGAACAGCAAGGCTGCCCAGCCCTTCCTGGCCGAATGGACAGCAGCCGACATGATTTCTCTGGCTCCCGCCAGCCTGGAGGATAAACCCCAGCTCCTATCTGCATGTGGGTCCTGAGGGAGCAAAGAGGCCCCCTGAGAAAGGCCCTGTAGAGCTCACAAGGCCTGTCCAATCCTGCATCCCCTTTCCACCGGGGGTAGGGGGTAGGGAGCTTCTGCATCCAGTCTGCCTCATCCCAAAGGCCACTTTCCCCTCCTGCAGCTCTAAGCAGTTAAAGCTGGTGCCACCGGGATCTGAGTAGAACTGTGTGCCCTCTGGTCTGGGGGGACTGATTTTGGGGGGAATAAGCCGCCAGGCCTGTCTTCCAGGCCACTTCTAATGGGTTTGGCAAGCACATTGATCGTCTGCACTGCCCAGAGACTCCTCTAAGCAGCTGTTGTTGTTGTTGTTGTTGTTGTTGTTAGTTGTTTTGTTGTTGTTGTTAATTGTTCATTGGCAAGAAGTCCATGCCATGCATGCCGACCCTTGTGTGCAGTGTAAAAACTGCTCCCAAAGGTCTTCAAGGCTGTGAATTCTCAGAAACCGATTGCTGTGCCTGCTGGGTGGACTCAAACCACCAACCTTGTGGCTAGCCTTGGGCCACTGAACAGGATCCCAGGCCAGTGCACGCAGC